TCTAGTCGAACCCCTGGCTCAGAAGACAGAATAACAGAGTTGGAAGGGACCTTGGAGGTCTTCTAGTCGAACCCCTGGCTCAGAAGACAGAATAACAGGGTTGGAAGGGACCTTGGAGGTCTTCTAGTCCAACCTCCTGCTCAGAAGACAGAATAACAGGGTTGGAAGGGACCTTAGAGGTCTTCTAGTCTGACCCCCCGCTCAGAAGACAGCATCACAGAATTGGGAGGAACTTTAGAGGTCTTCTAGTCCAACCCCCGGTTCAAGCAGGAGACTTTCTCCTCTGGGACCTCTGGAACTGGACAGGTCATCTTCAACATACAACCTTTCGTTTAGTTCAAAGTTACAACGGCACTGAAAATAAAAAGGGGTTTACAACCGGGGCTCACCCTTATGACGTCACAGCATCTTCATGCTCAGGAGAGCAAAATTTGGACGCTGGGCTTGCATTTATGACGGTTCTAGTGTCCCAGGGTCACGTCATCCCTTTTGCAATCTTGTGGCAAGCAAAGCCAATGGGGGGGGGGAGCCAGATTCATTTAACAGCCATCTGACTCACTTAACAACTGCATTGATGTGCTTAAGAATTGTAAGGTAAAGTTTCCCCTCGCACGTAATACGTGCCAGTCGTTCCCGACTCTAGGGGGCGGTGCTTATCTCCGTTTCAAAGCCGAAGAGCCAGCGCTGTCTGAAGACGTCTCCATGGTCATGTGGCCGGCATGACTCAACTCCCGAAGACGCATCGAACGCTGTTCCCTTCCCACCAAAGGTGGTTCCTATTTTTCTACTTGCATTTTTTACGTACTTTCGGACTGTTAGGTTGGCAGAAGCTGGGACAAGTCACGGGAGCTCCCTCCGTTACGTGGTGCTAGGGATTCCAACCGCCGAATTGCTGGCCTTTCTGATCGACAAGCTCAGCGTCTTAGCCACTGAGCCACCTCGTCTCTTAGTTTGGGTAATAAAACTGCTCAAGAAGCTGTTTCATTCTCAACAGTGGATTAGCCCTGGATGGAGGGGATCCCTTGGGAGGGGAACCACACCAGGTACGGCTGATCTCTTAAAACATCCCAGCAGGGTTGGAACGGGTGTGTGGTTGGGAGCCCAAACCATCCAGGAGGGGGTGACAGTGAGCTGAACAGCACACTGAGGCAAAATCCAAGCTAAGCTTCAACTCAAGGTACCGTATTTTTCAGACTATAAGACGCACGGGTGTGTAAGACACACCAAGATATTAAAGAGGTAAGAAAAAAAAGTTTTGGTCCCCCCTGGCCCCCAGCACTCCGCAGGCTTCAGCAGGGCTGGGGGAAAGCAAAAATGCCCCCGTTTTTGTGAAAAACGGTCAGAAAACAGGTCGTTTTTTGCAAAAAAGGGGGGCATTTTTCCTTTCCCCCAGTCCTGCTGAAGCCCGCGGAGTGCTCCTGGGGGCTGGAGGAAGGCAAAAAAATCTGTTTTTGTGAAAAACAGCCTTTTGTTTGCAAAAACGGGATAGGGGCGGGGCTTCGGGAGGCCACAAATGTCTGTATTCGGTGTATAAGGCGCACCAACGTTTCCACGCTCTTTTAGGGGGAGGGAAAGGTGTGTCTTATACTCCAAAAAATACGGTAGATGGTGACTTTGGGCCCTTCTCTTCTGGGTGTGGAAAAACCGAGCCCCTTCCTGAAATCAAACAGGATACCTCCCCCCACCGCCACCTTCCCACCCCTGATGCTGGATCAATCCTAAGCCGGTTCCTTACCTCCAGGTGATTTTCCACACCCACAGCTGGCACGTGGGGGGGCAGACCCATCACACCACTACAGGGGAGGAAGAAAAAAAAAGACAGTGAAACTACATTTCCCCCCCATAACGGGGTCAACGCAACGCCTGCTGGATTCCAAGATTAAATCAGGTGCCTTGAGAAGATGAGAGTGAACCCCAATCTTGGTTATTTGCCGCCTTTCTTCCTTTCAAGACTTCCCCCGTCCACCATATAATGGATTCCCAGCCATCAGCCGAGGAATTCTGTATATCTGTACTGAACTAGGCCTCCCGAGACAGTAAAAATGACATGCTTAGTCCCGGAAACCCTCTTTTTATTTCAAAGGCTGTGAATTATGTTCATTCGCAGCCCGTAATGAGTCACAAATAGTTTGTAAAGAGTCCGACAGTAGTCTGCCAAAGTCTTTCGGGATAAGGCTGATAAGCACCCACCTTTATCTCCCTTGAAACGCTGCCGAAGTCCTAATTGGCAATTAGCTTTGCAAAGCCACACGGAGCACAGAGTCCAAAACGGAGCTTCAGACTTTAAACCGACCAGAAAAAACAAAGTTGCTTCCTGCAAAAGCTCACATTCCTTTGCTCCTCCTTTATGTCTTATGGGAGGGGCCAATCATCTCCAAGCCTTAACCACAAGTCACCCCTTTTGTCATAACTGTTCTTATCTTCTGGCAGCTCTGCGCATGTGCACAATGGGAACAGGCTCTCCCTGTTCCTCTGCCTCGCTGACGTCCGACTCTGGCCCTGGCCCCCTCTCTGCCTCTGACGCAGAGCCCTCGTCCAAGCCTTCCCCAGACTCCAGGACTGGCCCATGTTCCTTCCCAACCTCCTCACTGTCCGACTCCACAGCCAACTTCGCAGGCAGAGGAGAACCACAAGAATATCCTTCCTGGCTATCTATCTAGAATTCCTTTGATTCCCCCCACTCCGCCCTAGAATCTTTTTTGGAAATCCCATTGGCCTTTTTGCCCCTTGGCAAATTGTCCCTCAACCACATTCCCAGCTCCCTTTATGCTCATCATTGGCCACCCCTAGAGAGACAAGCCCAAACTGCTAACTGTGGCAATTCTCGAACCCAATACCACAGCACTGTATACTCTTTCCTCTTTCCTCATGGTTGAGCAGGTTCATCCCCACAAAATTAACTTGTTCAGCTGCCGTAGCACTTCTGGCTGTTTCTGTTATTCCAACAGC